AAGTAAAACGTATTCAATCTACCTCTCCAAATGAACTGAATATTGATAGCATACCAAATGATGAGTCAAAAACTAAATTAAGATATAATGCATTCAGTGGGAGACGAAAAAGTTTTACTACTAGTGTCGGATCAGCAACAAAAGAAGCTGAAAAGCTTGTCAGAGAAAGACGAAAAAGTGTTACAGTTATTAAACTTCCGCGAATACATAGTTAAAATGTATGACAGACGTACAGGAAGAGCATTACCTAATAGCTTGCAGTGCAACTGTTCTATTATCGCTTGCTAAATTTATAACAGATGGTATGTAAAATTTCTATTCAATGAAACTGATGTGTGTTTAATATTTTTATGAATAAACAAAAACTCATTTGTTCTGGTCAGTTATAACCAATCCCAGTGGATTACATTTTTTTTGTGAAATTCTGACGCATGAGTTATGAAGGAGAATGGTTCTCAGACAAGAAATATCGAAAGCACAAAAGCAAACACAAAAAAATAAAATTTTTTTAATACTCTATGCTTCTACGATCTTTTCAAGATTCCTGATACTATCGTTCAGGAGAAAAATACTTGGGACTAACACCTGTCGATATTTTTGGATATATTTTAGAAGATCATACTTTCGAAAACCAGAATTGGTCTATGAAATGTTATTCTCATATCATGGAATGTAGAATTTAATTTCGAAAAAAATGGTGTGACTGTTAAGTTGAACAGTGAAAACTTGTAGGCTGTTTCGAATTAAAAAAGTACAATGGCAAAGGTCTGTCAGAAAATGAATTTTTCGCTGTTATCATATTGTTTACTTCAAAACGTTTTCTCTTAAGTATCTCTTCTGAAATTCTGAAACATATATTAAAAGAGGCAGAATTTGACGGAGAAGGTTATAGCATATTTGAAATTTCAGCAGAACTGTTATTCAAACTTTTTTATCATTTTTTCGCTTTTTTGACCGTCGCAGTTCGACGATTGAGTGGCTGTTAACCTTTCATTTTGCTTTAACCCAAGAAAATTTTATTTGGAAAAACAAGTCGACAGTTTAGTAGAGCAATGAATTCTCTATCGAATGAGCTCAAAACCAGGTTTAAAATGATTTTTAAGTGCCTCTAAAACAGAAAACAAAATCGATTCATTTTATCTGGCCCACCCGTTACTGCTCATTGTATGAGGGATATTGCATCAGTATTCAAGACTCTGATAGTTAAATCAATCATATGAATTGAGAATGTATGTTAGATCATCTTCGGCAGCTTGGTAGTTAGAGCTTCTGTCTGTTACCAGAGGATCCTGGGTTCGGTTCCCGATCGAGACATAGATTTTGTTTTTACGTGTTTGTCTATCAAATTATGTCTCAGCTCTACCGTGTTCAAAATTCACTTTCTAATAAAAGTTTGTGGACCGATTTCAAATCTTATGCGGACTGATCCTTTGAGTAAAAAGATTCCGTCGGAAAACGAAAAAAATGCATGAAAACGTAGCTTATCTTCAGACAAATAAATAATGAAAATGAATCTGGGTCATGAACAACAGTTCAAATTTCGACGCTGCATATTTATTCTTTTTGTATTCTAAAATATCGTCTGTTAGAATTAATAAAAGTTTGTCTTTCAAGAACATACTATAGCTAAACCCATCAGCTTTGAGATTAACACGATTCTGCATTAGTCGTCCAGATATACTAAACGCTCACCCTCACCTAAACGCAGAATGAATGAATTTATATCACCGCATGGTCAGAATTAGAAGGGAACAAAGAAATAAAAACAAAATAAAAGACATAAGTTCGAAGTTCGGTTAAAAAAACTTTACCAGCGAAAAATTCCGTAAAAAGTATTTACCGGACCTTCGGTAAAAATTTTTTTACCGTTACCGTGGTAATCTCATTTTTCGATAAATTCATCGTACCGTTACCGCGGTAAAAAGGCTTTTACCATTACCGCCGGTAGATTACCGGTTACCGCACATCCTTAATTGCAATAATTTTTTGAAAAACAGCGACAAAAGGGGCCGTTAACTGGACAAGCCGTATAGTTTATCTTTATGTTGCTTGCCAGTATATATATGCAACTTCACACTTCCGTAAATGTAGTCGGACAGAAAGGGCAAGGTACCATCATTTTGTTTTTAATCTAATGATACGTTTTGCTAACCAACGAAGTTAGACAATTACTAAGCGCTCCTACAATATGCCGTTACATCATCTGAATTTGTGGAAGTTGTGCTCATTTCTGTGAATTTTAGTGTTTGTGATAACGTCTAAAAATAGCCAGTTACAAGTAGTTACTATAATTAATATATGAACACTTCTTGAACACGCAGTAACTCGTTTTGCTTCTCTTTCATCATCGTGTGCAGTTAATGAATGAATCAATGTTTAATTTTATTAATTCTGAAGCAAAACAAACTGCGATCATAGAACATCATGTTTCGATTTTTAGTAAACTAAATTATCTTACTCATTATATTTGCTTATGTGCTTACTACGAAAAAATACGGCTGAAGTATCTTGCAGGAAAATGCATGAAAAGCAAATTGTCATAGATTCGATTGGTTTATACGTTTTTGCTGATTTCTTTCATTTCGACTGTTTTCGTGACAATATCTGTTTTTGATATGTGATGTTGTGGTTGTCATGGTAAAAAACATTAGTCGTTGCCAAACGATACTCAAGTGCTTCTAATATTGAAATTTTGATACAGTCGAAAAAACTATTTGTTCTCTCCGTTGCGAAGGTCTTTTCTACAAAAACAGAAAGGAAAGCGTTATCTCATGAATATATGACTCACATATTTACTTATTTAAAAAAGTTAAGAAAATTTTCTAATCTTACCTACATAAATCTTTTACTTTTTGGGTATTCTGCACTGATTCATTATCAGAAATAAACGATTACAACAATTGAAAAGTAATGGTAAGTAGCTTAGAATTATTGTGAGATCATCTCTTCTCACTTTCTTTCTCTTTCAGTCTGAGTTTGAGATTGATGTCCATGTAAAAAGGACGGGTGAGAGAGTCATCTGCAAAGTCACTAAGGAAACGACAATCGATAGTGTTATTCGTCATGTTTGCTCTGAAATTGGTTATGATCATCCTGAAAAGTTGTATCTAGCGATTAACAATGAGTATGAGCTGGACAATACTTCTAAATGCACGCCGGAACTTCACGGGCAGTTTCTACAGTTGTGCTTGAAAACCAAATTCATGCTGGAAATTATCGGTGGACGACAAATGGCTAACATCTCAAATGAACTTCATAATGAGGAACAATTAAAAACAATAGAGTATGACTTAGCTGACACAAAAGAAACAGTCATAGGTAAGTTTATTGTTATATGAATTTGCTAATCAATGAAGCTAATTATTTATAGAATCATCTTCACCGACAAAACCGAAAAAGAATATAGCTCCAAAAATTCCTATTACAACCAGTGAGCCCCTTCACGTAGACACCACAACAACCTCAGAAGAAACAATTGAAACAGGAGATCGAACTGTTTTACGTGATAAAATACGTCAAACAATCAAAAAGATTCCCAGTCAACTAGCTCAAGACTATCTTCATAATGTTCTCTCGAAAGAATTCGATATCATGCTTATGGGCTCACCTAGAGTGGGTAAAAGTACATTAATTAACGGAATGTTAAAGAAAAATTTGGCAAAAACCAGTTCCGGTCTACAGCGTGAAACAACAGAAGTAGCTGCTTATAGATATGAAGAAACGTATGAGACGAACACGAAAATTACGAAGTGCGTCATCAATATTTGGGATGCACCAGGCACCGAAGACTGGAGCGAAGTAAATATCCATGACTATATGGAAAAGTTAGTTCGCGAACGAGACCCACTCTGTTTGATCTATTGTGCATCACCTGGCTCCTACGGGAAACTGGGTCATATCAAATGGTTGA